TGGACAATTCTCCATTCCTATCTCACCTCAGCTTCTGGTAAACATTGCATTTTCTGTCTCTGTCAATATCACAGTTCTAGGTGGCTCAAATAAATGAAATCATACGGAATTTGTATATGAGTGCCTTCCTCCCTCCAACCTTTCCCCTTTCTCATTGTTGGGGATTGAACCCAGGGCCTCACATGTGTTAGTCACATTATATGAGAATGTCTTTATAGCTGAAGATATTTTATTGTATGGGTGGTCCACATTTTCTTTATCCAGTCATCAGTTGATAGGCATGTAGGCTGTTTCTGTTATGTAGCTGTGGTTGATAGTTTCTCATTCCTCTTTAGTGCACTAAATTTTAGCTCCCCGCCTTTCTTCCCGTTGCTAAAACGCTTTAGGTTAGCTTCTGCCTCAGGATCATTATTACATGCTTACTGCTTGGACTGCCCTTCTCCTGGATCTCACTGTGCTTGCAGCCCAGATATTGTACCCTCAGGGAAGCTGTGCTTGATCATGGCATCAAAAGTAGCCGAATTCCCAGTACTTTCTATTCAGTACTCTGTTGTAGTGTCTCCACAGTGTATCTCACTGCCAGAAATGAAGAAGTATTTAGACCATTGTGCCATTTAGATCATTTAGTACTGTTCTATGGCTCATGGCCTCATTCTCAAAATAACTGTAAATGCCTAAAATGTACCAATTATAATAAAAATAAGCTAGCAAAATATTTTTAAATTATGATTTAGTAACGCATATGCTTCTCTATTAAGTTCCAAAATAATGATATCCATTTGCAGGCTTAATAATTACTAGAATACAGAAACAATGATGGATGTAGATGTTATTTTGACATGTGTACAACCACTGGACTAGGAAGAAAAATATGAGTGACCTTTACTGGATAGAAAAGTCACCGGTGCTGCAGACAGAAACTGGTAAACATCAGTTAGAAATGTATTTCATTCCTAAGTTTGTAGATTCTCCAAATTCTATCCATAAACTTCTTGGAGGTCTGTGAGCTCCATGTTTAGAAATGTTTGGATAGGGATGGAAAGATGGTTCAGCAATTAAGAGCACTGGTTGCTCTTCCAGAGGTCCCCAGTTTGATTCCCAGCACCCACCTGTGGCCTTACAACTGCTGTAACTTCAGTTCCAGGAGACCCATCACCTTTTCTGGCCTCCACAGACACCACACATGCATGTGGTGTACATGTAGGAAAAACACCTCTACAGGTCAGAAAAGAAGAATTACATGGATGGTCCATAAAAGTCTCAGACTTGTCACCTTAATAGGGCAAATATTAATTGTAATGATGAGGAAGGATAGAGTCTCCTAGGGAAGAAAGTGCTAAATGAAAGCTGTCTTCTATGGCCCTCCATGGATCTAGGGTGTGGGTCATATAGAAACATCCTCTTGGAAGGGGCATGAGAAAAGCAGTGCCTTGAAAAAAAGAAATAAGAATTCTCAGCAGAGGGATCTTTAATGTCCAAGAAGCAATTAAAGAAATGTTCACCATCTTTAGTCATCAGGGAAATTCAAATCAAAACATCTCTGAGATTCCATCTTACACCTGTCAGAATGGCTAAGATCAAAAACTCAAGTGACAACACATGCTGGTAAGCATGTGGAACAAAGGACTCCTCCATTGCTGATGGGAGTGCAAACTTATACAACCATCTCTGTGTTTAACTTAATATTCTTGTGTATGTCCTTTGAAATCTATAAACATAACTCTAGCTTCCACAAATCCCAAGGCTACAAATGCCATCAAATAGTATCTGAGATCTATAGTTCAGATTTCTTCACATATGTATAACCTGCTTACCTAATGTTTTTTTTTTTTACAAGTATGTTACATTTCCCTTCGTTTATTGTTTTGTTAAAATAACTTCATAAAATGTGGCAATTTTGGTTAGCCTGAATTTGTGTTCCCATGCTATGGTCACACATGTTGGCTTCATAATAAACTATCTTATATTTCCTTTGGAAAAAAACGAAAAAAGAAATGATTGGTGATGCAGCCACATACAGAAGTAAGGATTTTCTTTGCCCCAGAGTAGAGTTCAGTAAGGGTAGCAACATGTGTCGAAGAGACGGCCATGTGGGGAGATGAGCTGTGGGGACAGAGGTGAGGGAACTTGGAGCGGTAAGTGGAGTCCTTACTGTATGCCAGACACTGGCAATACCAAGCTGACCTGCACAAAGATGAGTCATCTTTCAGATCCTTCTAAACTGAATGCTGGTGGCCGATTGGCTGGTTTGGCAGGTCTGGTCTATGCAACTCCGCAGAGACTCTGAGAGCCAGAAGCATTAGTAATGAGATTCATATAGCGTTTCAGAGATTCAAGAGGAAGGAAGGTGAGAAAAATCTGTTCTTCTGTTTCCTTTGTATGAAGCCAAAACTGAAGTAAAAATGAAGTTATGTAACAGGAAAGCAAAGCCATGCCCTGATCATATAATTCAAACCAGCTACCCATCTAAAAATTAGCTATGTCTGAGGGATGCTTCCTGTACTCTCACTATGAATTCTTCAGGAACCTTCTAAGACTCTTTGCTACCAAGGGATCACTTGTGCTTCAGAACAGTCTTGGCTGGGGAAGGAGTGGTCAAAGGAAGAAAGAAAGAATGATATTTTTAGATTTTTTTTCCCCTTTGGGGTGCTAGAGATACCCTGCACCTGGGTTTCTTCCTGTAGGCAGTTCTCAGGATGCAGGATTCTGTGGTTCTTTTTTTAAATGCTGCTTTCGTCTTCTCTCCTAGAGGGCTCTTTCACAGAGGCTCAGGTTGGGAGCTGCTGTAGGTGGGAGGTGTTGGTTGGGTTCATGCCTTTCTTTGATCATTCTCCTGTGGTAATGGAATCTGAAAACTCCCTGCCCTGGGCTAAGGGAATGAACCTCTTTTTGCTTGAAGGGAGGCAGCATCTCCAGTGGAGAAGCAGTATTCAAACTGAGATGAGAAGAGAGGTAGAGCTGAAGCTGAGATGACCTAGTTAGAGCAGAAAGGTGATGTTGGGGTTGGGTGGAGCAGAGGCAGGTGAGATTGCTCAGTGGGTAATAATGTTTGCCACCAAGCTGGTGACCTGAGGTCCATCCCTGGATCTCTCATGGTGAAAAAGGAAAACTGACTCCCATAGGTTATTGTATGACTTCCACACTTATGCCATGGCACACACACCTACACACATATACACCTAAAAAAAAAAAAAAGGAAGGAAGGAAGCAAGAGAATGTCAAGGCAATTGGGGTGGCTTCAGTGCAGATAGGGCTAGGAAGAAAGGAATTTCCAGGAAGGTCTGGGACAGGGAGGAGTGGGCTGACTGTTCTTTTTTGAAGTTTTTAAAAATTATCATGTATTAATTATACATGATAATGGGTTTCATTATGATACTTTTGTGCATGTGCAGCATGTATTTTTTACTATATTCACTCCCCATTGTCCTCTCTTATCCCCCTTCCACTTATTGCCTTCCTTTTCCCAAGTAGTTCCTCTTTACTTTATTTTTTTTAAAAGAGGTATTTTATTGGTCACATTTTCATTTATTTATTTGTGTGTGTGAACATGCATGCATACATGTGTATGCATACCATGGTGCATGTGTAAAGGTCAGAGGGCAGTAGCAAGAGCCAGTTTTCTCCTTCTCTCATGCAGACACTGGGAATCAAACTCAGGTCCTCGGGCTTAATGGCAGGTGCCCTTACACACTAAGCCATCTTACCAGCACCCTCGTCTATTTTTATGCCTTTCTGTATTCATGTAAGCAAATATGTTTAATTAGGGTTATTTATAGGAGCATGGATAAGGGATTAGCAATAGAAGATGAGCAACTTACCAGAGGCTACACTACTGAAGAAAATATCTCTCCCTCCCTTAACAACTGCCAACTGCCTATAGACCTTCAGTTCACTGTTGTTTAGAAGGCCTTGATGAATCTGGTATTGTGGTACACATAAGTAATTCCAGTACTCAGAAAGCTGAGGCAGGAGGTTCATGAGTTTGAGGCCAGCTTGAGCTACATAATGAGTTCCACAGCAGCTTAGGCTATTTTGCAAGACATTGTTTCAAAAATAAATAGAGGTGTGCATGGTGGTGCATACCTTTATTCTTGGCAGATCTCTGTGAATTTGAGGCTAGCCTGGTCTACATAACAAGTTCCAGACTAACCAAGGCTACACTAAGGCCCTGTGCCCAAAATGAATGAATGAATGAATGAATGAATGAATGAATGAATGAATGAGGAGTCTTGTTGAGTCATGGAGGCTGCCTCAGAGAACTTTTCATGGATACTCAGTGAGCTGGGGTTCCTATGTAGATAATTGGGGGGAAGGATGCCTAGATGAGAAGTAGAAAAATATGTGGCTATCAAGGTTGTAAATTGATATGCTCCAATCATTGTTGCAAGAGTGAACAAATATCTCGCAGCGAGGTCTGTACACAGATCCAGTCCAAAAGCATGGTGTGGGGAGATGTAATGAGCTTAGATCGAGGACCCAATATGGAGGAATGTCATCCTAACCACAGATCCCACCAGTGGCTTCCACATTGCCTCAGGGCCTGTGGGTTTGAGAGAACATTAACTCCTGTCAGTGAGAAAGCCAATATATCACACACACACATATACCCAGCAGTGTGTATGTATGTATGTATGTATGTATGTATGTATGTATGTATGTATGTATATATATACATACATATATATATACTGGGTCACAGAAGGGATTTTGAGCATAAGAAGAGGTGGTCAATAGGAAGCAGGTAGGCATCAAACTGAGCAGTGAGGTGTGCAAAGGCATGATTGGGATGAAGAAAGAGAAATGGTCATTCCACAGTGAAGAAATATGTTTGGCTCATGTGTGGACCAAGAAGTCAGCCAAAGCTGACAATAGAAAAGCCCACTGAGAAAAGCTGAAAAAGCCCAAGTAGATGAGGGAGGGTCCAATTACACAGGACACTGCATTTCTAAGTTTGACTGTGTCAAGAAGCAAGCATTTGAAGCCATGTCTTTCCACTCTAGCTACAAGCCCATCATGGAATTCATCGATGCTCAGTTTGAAGCCTACCTGCAGGAGGAGTTGAAGATCCGGAGAGTACTGCACACCTACCATGACACCCGAATCCATGTCTGCTTGTATTTCATTGCCCCAACAGGACATTCGCTTAAGTCTCTGGATCTAGTAACCATGAAGAAGCTGGATAGTAAGGTATGAAGCAGGAGCGGGGGCTGAGCAAAGTGGACTCTTACTGATCTAATACACAATGGATGCTCGATTCCAGCAGAGGTTTTGTGGCATCGTAATCTAATCCTTTATTCCCTTCCTCCATAAAGATGATGTTACAGATCCTGCATTTGTATCATATGCGTTGTCATCTGAATTCCTAGTATCAGGGATGGATTTGTCCTCAGTGTTCTTCCACCCTGATATGTCTTGGAAATAAGAATGATGTAAGCAAGATGGCTGTTTAAGCATAAGGACAAATGGTTAGCGAATGGAAAAGTGTGTTTTTTTTACTTTTAAAAACTGTGCTTTTATTTTATATTTTTGAATATTTTATCCGCAAGTATATATACCTGTGCACCACTTGCATGCCAGGTGCTGAAAGGAGTTCAGAAGAGGATATCAGATTCCCTAGAACTGGACTTAGAAATGGTTGTGAGCCACCAAGTGGGTGCTAGAGACCAAATCTGGGTCTTTTGCAAGAGCGACAAGTGCTCTGAAATACTAAACCATCTCTTCAGCCATCTTCAAGGCCCTAGATTCAATTCCCAGCACCATAAAAACAGAACTAATTGAACATTCGATATTTTTTTTTGAGACAGGGTTTCTCTGTATAGCCTTGGTTGTCCTGGACTCACTTTGTAGACCAGGCTGGTCTTGAACTCACAGAGAGCCGTCTGCATCTGCCTCCTGAGTGCTGGGATTAAAGGTATACACCACCACTGCCCGGAGAACATTGGATTCTTTAAAAGACTGTAGTTTTTTTTTTTTTCCCTAACATTTGGCATGCTCCAGGCACTGTGTACTTATTTATGTTACTTCATACTTTTTTCCATTTGTATATGTGTGTATGTTGTTTGTGTGTATCTATGCATGTTTGTATGTGTGCAGGCATACATGTGTGTAAGTGCATATGTATATTGACGTTTGTGCACCTGGAGATCGAAAACAGATATAAGAATCATCCTGTATCATCTCTCTCTCACCTTATTCAAGGAGGCAGAGTCTCAGCCAAATCAGTATTCACCTATATGGCTAGTCTTGCTAGCTAGGTTGCTCTGGGAATCCCCTGTCTCTGCCTTCTGAAGCTGAATTATAGGTAGGTTGCTATGCCCACCTGATGTGTTTGTGGGTTCTGAGGAGCCTAATGCAATAAGAGCTTAGGCACTGGGCCCTGTTTTTCATTATTTTCATTATATGTTGTTGTTTGATTTTTTTAAGAAAAAGTGTTTTATTATATTTTGTCTTAATTTTTATTTATTTTTAACCAAAATTTTTTCATACAATATATTCTGATCATGGTTTTCCTCTCTTCAGACTCCACCCAGGTCCTTTTCACCTCTCTCCATCCAGCTCTATGTCCTTTTCCTCTTGTTAAGTAAACAAGAAGAAGAAGAAGAACAACAACAACAACACGCATACACACACACACAAACTTCATGGAAACAGAAACCAAATATATAAGTAAACAATGAATAAGACAAAACATCTACAAAAACATATACTGCTGAGTATAGGGAATATCCTGGAGTTAATATATCCAGTGAGACTTTATTGGAAAAAAAGTAGGTTTTCCTTTCTAAGTAGGTATCAATTGCATTTAGCTTTTTGTTTCAAGATGGGGCCTGTGTTTACTTCCCCCCTCTCAGCAATGGGATTCTTCCTGGTTTGAACCTGTGCAGGTGCTATGCCTACTGCCATAGTCTCTGTGAGATGGTATATGCATCAGTCCCATTGTGTCCAGAAAATGCTGTTTCCGTGGAGTCATACATCACCTGTGGCTCTTACAATCTTTCTACCTCCTCTTCTTCATAGATCCCTGAGCCCTCAGGGAAGGAGTTTGATGAAGACATCCATTTATGACTGAGTGCTCCAAAGTCTCACTTTCTGTACATTGTCCAGTTGTGAGTCTCTGTGTTAGTTCCCATCTACTGCAAGAAGACGGCTAAGCAAGGCACTGATGTATGGGCATAGCAAAATGTTGTTAGGAGTCGTCTTATTGAAATGTTCTTTTAGCAGAACTGTGGTATTTGGTTTTCCCTTAGGCCCATGGCTTAGCCAGTCTCAGATCTAGCAGTGTCAGGCATGGGTTCTGTCTCATGGAATGGGCCTTAAATCCAATTAGATAGTGGCTGGTTACTTCCACAACATTTGTAGCACTATTGCACCAGCATCTCGCTCAGACAGGTGACCATTGTAGTTTGCAGGGTTTGTAGCTGATTGGGTAGTTGCTTTTCTTCTTTGGTAGTGTGCAAAGTACATTCCAATACTATGAATACTAGACAGTAGGCTTACAGGCTCTAGTTAGGCACCAGATCATTTTCTTTATGTTTGATGAAATATGTTAAGTATTGTCTTCAGCAATAGGGACTGGGCCCTGTTTTTGACCTTCTAATAATTTAGTATATTTAGGTACTGTTAATTACACTTTGCATATGACATCACTGAGGCACAGAGAGGCAAGTAGCCTGTTCAAGGTCAGACAACTTGTAACTGAGCTGAGATTTGGCTTTAGCTCTCTAACTGCAAGTTATTTTAGTATACAAAATTCTAATTTACATGTAGTCATTTGGTAACATAGCCATTATAAAAACTAAATGTCAGCTATAATCAGAATAAGACTTTTTTTCATTTTTGCAGGAATGAGCTCACTGCTCATGAATAATAGGCTGCTTCTGAAATGTCTTCATGCCCAGTGTGCCACCGTATAGGGCAGCAGTGTGCCAAGTGGGACGGCAGTCTAGTGGGTGGGCTGCATTAAGTAAGCAGTTTTTGGCTTATGTTTATTGTGTACCAATGAGGATTTGGAAAAAAAAAAACTTATAAAGAGTCCTGGATTTGCCCACTGTTCCACCTCGACAAAGAGTCTGATCTCTTGATCCCCAAGTACTTCAAGGAAGATAACTGCAAGGTCTGGGGTTTGTGGTATGCGCTATGTGGTATGAGCTTTCAGGAGACTTTGAAAGTACAAAATAGAGACAGGACTTCTTCAGTTCTGGAGCTCTCACTCTCTTTTCAGAGCCCCAGGCCTGAGTACCATTCAATCTGCCCCAATGGGGTCTGTGAGCAGGAACAACTCCATTCTCTACAGGAACCTGAGATTTAGTGTGCTCTGTCTCCCAAAGCCATGCAACATCTCAGATTTCTTTACCTTTACAATAAAAGCTTTCTCCTGTATTAGAGGGATTTCAAGGGTCAGGGTTCAGATGGGTTGAGCTTTGGGCTTGCACTGGGGCTTTCTCTTGGTATCTGAAATTGGGCATTCACACCTGCTTTCTTACCCAGAAATAAACCCCATGACTCAAGCATTAGTAACTTGTGTAGGGTGGTGCATGGGTGACATAGGATCTCATGAAGCTTAAAGCTACCCTCAAACCCACGATGTAGCCAAAGATGTTCTTGAATTAATCTTCCTGCCTCCACTTGTGCAGTGCTGACATTGTAGGTGGAGCTGAGGCTGGAACTAAGCTAGCATCCTACCGACTGAGCTGTATCCATAACCCCAGTCTAACATATCTGTGTAAGTTTCATGCCAGATTGGTACTACTAGGTCTTCTTTGCTTAACTGGCTGGTGCAAGTAAGAGGGCCACATGTTCATGCTCACCAAGTCTGTTCCTGCTTCCTTTTTCTAATACTACCCATGTGGATCCATGTTATATCTGGCTGGGGTGAGCCTAAGTTGAATGGGTTGGGAAAACTTAGTGCCTATCTGTCACCTTGTCCAACACAAATTTCCTGTCATCTTTCTTCTTTGAATCACTCTAGCAGTGACCTTGATTCCAAGGTATTACATAGCTCCCCAACTTAGATCTGAACTCGTACTAGCTCATAGTTGCTACCAGCTTTGGGAATAAAGCTGACTTGGACTTGAATTTCAGTTCTGCTACTTATCTGCCCTGTGGCCTTAGACCAGTTACTTAATCTCTGTGTGGTCCAGTTTCACAGTAGTAAAACATGAATAACAACATCTTCGGGGAAAGTTATTGTTAGGATTAATTATGCTAAGCTATACATAGGGTACGTAGTTTAGTGGCCAACACATAGTAAATACTTCTTATTGTTTATTATATTGTCATTTGGCTAAGGGTGGAGAGTGCTGGACCTATATGCTGAGCTGTCCCCTCTGAGAGCCAATGGGAGCCATAGGTCTTGTTAGTTACCAACAGTTGATCCCACTTTATTCCTCTTTTTCCTAGGTGAACATCATCCCCATCATTGCCAAATCAGATGCCATTTCTAAGAGTGAGCTGACAAAGTTCAAGATTAAAATCACCAGTGAACTTGTGAGCAATGGAGTCCAGATCTATCAGTTCCCCACGGATGATGAGTCGGTGTCTGAGATCAATGGAACCATGAATGTGAGTGGCAGCACAGGGTTCAGCTTTCTTCCATCTTGGTGTGGTAACTTGATTACCTGAGTCTCAGGTATTGGTAACAGGGGAGTCCAGAAACTAAACAGTTTCTGTTTCTAGTGATGGCTGCTACAAAGTTTCAGTGACATGGAGATTAGTAACCTGGAAAAGGGAAAGGCTGACCCTAGGCTGAGTGTGGAGCAGAGAATTCGGACCTCTCCTTTCATTCTCCTTCTCTTTTTTGGCTCATATATATGTTCGTGTGTGTGTGTGTTCAGGTGTTCATGTGTGTGGAAACTTTAGGTTGATGTTGGGTGTCTTCCCCAATCACTCTCCACTGCATTTATTGTGGTAGGGTCTCTTGCTGAAACCAGAGCTCAGATTCTGTCTCTCCTGGACAATGTGCCCTGGGGATCCGGTCTCCCCCTTCCAAGTCCTAGGATTACAGGTAGCCACTGTGTCTGGCTAGCTTTTGTGTGAGTTCTGAGGATCTGAGATTAGGTCTTTTTATACTAGGCAAGCCTGTATCCATTGTGCCATCCTTCTAGCCCTCCTTCTTAATACCCCTGAGGTCTGGGCCAGGCAACCTATCCGACTGGGCTTCAAGAAAGGCATACCTTGTTTGTCTCTGATCCCAACATTGTTGAAAGGTGGGTACAGTAAAAGACATAAAGTCTGAAAATGTTGATTGGCCTCAGAGGCTCAGGGGTGGGCTGTTGTCTGAGAACTAATCCCTGTTGTCATGAATGAAACAATTAGAAATAGCTTTCACTTTTGCTGGCAACCACAAGTGATTATTTTTTTAAAAAAAAGTTTTATTTATTTTTATTTTTGTGTATGAGTGTTTTGCCTGCGTGTAAGTGTACCATGTGTGTACAGTCTCCACTGAGGACAGAAACCCTGAGATTAGAGTTACAGATGGTTGTATAGCTGCTTGTGGGTGCTGAGAATCACCCAGGTCCTCTGCAAGAGCAGCAAGTGCTCTCAACAAGTGAGCCATCTCTCTAGCCCCAGTGGTGTTATTTTTAACCACCAAGGTTATGCTTTGCCTTATTAAGTGTGAATGAATTTACTAAAAGCATCCTCTTTTCTCGCCTCCTCTGCCTCCCCCTGCTAGAGAAATGAGTAATAAAGAAGGCAGAGAGTCAAACACTACCCGCGCTTCTTTACAATGTGTTGATGCTGTTGCTGTGAAAGCTTCAATGTTGTGATTTCCAGGAGACAGCTAATAGCTTCCAGCAAACCTCTGCTTTGGGGAACAAATTTCTTTTTCTCTATGGAAAGGCATCAGTGTTTCCTAATGACATAATGTCAGGAGACAGCCAAACTCAGGAAAGCCTTGTAATAAAAGCCATTTTTAGCAAACTTTTCCTGCTGTTGGTGCCCTCTAAGTTATCATTACAACATCAGCTGCCACCTCCTGTGAATTGGCCAGCAAATTAGCATAGCCAGGCAACAAGTTACTATCTAGCCTGATGTCCTGCCCATCAGCTTCTCAATAGAAGCTCTTCATCAGCCTTGACAAGCCTGACTTCACGGTATAGTCTGTGCCTTGTAGAGTTGTGTTCCATGTGACCTGTATGGTCAAAAAGTTTTTTAAAAATAGTGCTGTCTTCTCCAGGAGTCGAGGCATTTTGATGGAAATGAGAATCTGTCTGAAAACTGGAAAAGGTGCCCAGCCTGCAGAAAAACAGGAAGTGTTTTCTGGGTGTAGCTTGCACTGATGTCTGGCAGCTTCAGTACTTCAGTCACTGAAGATAGCTTCCCAACTCAGTCCCTGAGTCATCAAGCAGTGTTCAGCCTGGTGGTTTCCTTTGCTAAAAGAAATAGGACTGGCAATTTTTCAGCAATTTGAAGGTGTCCCACCAAACTATACCATTATATTATGGGTTAGGAGTGACAATCACCCTTTCTCTGTTCACAGCTCGAATTGGGCCTCTTGCTCAGCCTAGGGCAGATTCAGCCTCAGAGGCAGAAACTCGCCATTGCTATGAAACAACAGTTCTCAACCATCCTGCTGTGGCAGTGTAGAGATTGTGGGCCCCGTGATACTCAAAAAAGTCCATATCTCATCACTGCTTCATGCTGAACAACTAAATTAAAAGCTAAATGTAGTAGTGCATGCCTGTGATCCCAGCATCACATGCTGAGGCTAGAGGATCACATGTTTGAGTCTAGCCTGGGCTACATATAACAAGACCTTGCCTCCAAAAGGAAGGAAAAGTAAGCTAAATCTGGTGAATCAGGATCATTCCTCTAAGTAGCATCACTCAGTCTTTACTCCCTTGCATTCTGTCATGCTTTTGTGAATGGGAAGGGAAGAGAAGGGGTGCCTTACAGATAGCATGCCTGGACTTGAGCATATCTGTGGGAGGGGCCTGTATTGGAAGCCCCTGTGTTCCACATGCTGAATTGGGAAACAGGAATATAATAAACACCGGAGTGCTTTGCTCACCTGCCACCAGTACAACTATGTCAAAGTCTCTAGAGAGCCCATGGCATATGCAATGGCATCTCCAGAGATGGGGCAAGGGTGCTTAGGTGCTATGAGGACTGGTTGTTGGCCTTTAAATTCTTGATATTGTTCCAGATACCCAGCCCTTGCCCATTATACAATTGTCATGAGAAATAGAAGAGGCAGAATTTTTTTTTTTTACCTAGTTACAGAAGACTAAATAGTTGCCCTGTTATTCCCAAGTAAGAAATATTTATGAGGGAGCATAAATATTGGCTTTTGGGTGGTTCTAGAAACCATTATTTCAGTTTGTGGGGGCAGGAAGTGGGAAAGTTGGGGGAAAGAGAGTGTGTTTGCTCTATGCCATTTTCAGCACATGCTGGGACTGCTCTCAAACCTGTAGACTTTAAATCTCAAAATTGTCACACTGTTTAAATTAATTCATTATTTTGAGGCAGGGTATCACTGTGTAGCCAAGGCTTTTCTTAAACTGGTGACCTTCTTGCCTCAGCTTCCTGGCTACAGGCATTATAGAACTGAAGCACCATGCCCAGCATATTGTTTAGCTGCAATGTTTGTTGGTCTGACATAACACACCTGTAATCTCAATGCTTGGGAGATAGAGGTAGGAGGATCTGAAGTTTAAGGTTATCCTCAGCAACATAGAGAACTGGAAGATAGCCTGAAATACATGACACCCTGTCTTTAAAAAGCACACAACAATAAAATTTAATGCTATTCTTAGAATAGCTCAAACTGTGGTCAGGGGTTGAAGAACAGGTGAATTACATGATTAAGTTCAGTTAATTGGCTATTTGTTAAGCACTGGGTTTGATTGCCATAGAGACATTGTATTTGTGCCCAGTAAGGGCACATGGTTGGCAAATCACAGGGAGGCCCTTAGGCCCAAATCTGTCCTTTCCTCGACCCAGTAATGGTGTCTCTATTTTTTCCATGGTTATATGTTGGAATGACCAATGGTATTTGAGTAAATTAGGTAACAGCCTTGTTTATCCATTAGTGGGAACCTGAAATGGGGGCAAGTAGAACCAGCCTCATGACTGGGAAGCCTTGTTTACCCTGGGAGGAAACCAAGGCCAGTTTGACAAGATCCTGATGGAATTTCACAGCCTAAAAACAAAACAAAGCAAAACAAACAAAGCCAAAATCATTCTTCAGGTCTTCGAAGCATAATACATGTGGTTGAACAAGAATAAAGTAAGTCATGACAGTTGGATCATCAAACAACTTTCAAATGGACCAAGGGGAGTTTAAGGTAGACATGAGACTGGAAAAGTAGTGCTGTGATTTGAAAGTGTTGCCCATGTGATTGTATTAGGAGAGGGAGCCTTGTAGGGTCCTGGAGATGCAAACCTATAATATCAGGCACTCTAGAGGCTGAAGCAAGAGGACCACAAGTTTAATATCTGCTTAGAATACAGTGTGAGTTCCCAGCCTGGGCATCTTAGTGAGACCCTGTCTCAAAACAAAAGCTGAAAAAGAAGGCTGACAATATATAACTCAGTGGTAGAGGATGTGCCTGACACGTGTAAAGTCCTGAGTTCAATTCCTTGGATTGATTTTGAACAAGAGAGAGGGTAGAGAGATGGCTCAGAGATTAAGAGTACATACTACTCTTCCAGGGGCCCTTAGTCCAGTTCCCATTACTAACATATGGTGACTCACAACCCCCTGTAACTCCAGCTCCAGGAGATCTAACCGTTTCTTCTGATCTCTTTGTGCACCTGCACTCACATGCACATACCCACTTACAGGCATACATATACACAATTAAAAAGAAATCTCTTTTCAAAAGAAGAAAGATTGAAAAAAAAAAAAAAGAAAACAGGTGGTAGTGGTGCATGCCTTTATTCCCAGCAGAGGCAGGCAGATCTCTGTGAGTTTGAGGCCAGCCTGGTCTACAAAGCGAGTCCAGGACAGCCAAAGCTACACAGAGAAACCCTGTCTCCAAAATTAAAAAACAAAACAAAACAAACAAACAAACAAAAAAACCTTAGCCTCAAGTATTTTGTTGTAGCTGTACAAAATGGACTAAGCAGTGAATCTGGAGCCTGAGGCTGTGTTTTGATAGCACTCTGCACCTGGGATCTCCAATATTGGTGTCCATCATCAGAAGTTTAGGTAGAGTTCATACAGGGTCTCCTTAACAGTCTGATCATCGTGTCAGCAGGAGCCTTATCTTGCAACTATCAAGAGTTTCCTCCCTGGGGCCACATATATGAAACATCGATTGTCAGCCTCCTGCAGGGACCTGAAAAAACTAGGAGAAAGTCTGACCTCCATTTTGGGGGGAGGGTTTCATGGGTAGAACCTAGTAGTGTGATTGAAAGTTAAAACTCCTCTTCATCTTGCTCGATTCCATTCTGGTTGTCAAAGGCTTGTGTCTTTGTAGAGCAGCAGGGTCAGACTTTCATGCAGTGCCCCCTGACCTGCTGTACTTAGTTGACCTCTAGCTGGTGCTGTTTAGCCAGGACACAATGCAGAGCATTGTGGCTAGGAGGCTTGGGAAGACTGGCAGTCAAAGTGTGGTGGCTTCACTGCTTCCTAAAAAGATCTAGCATTAGAGTTCAGGACATGAATGACTCCTTTAAGCCCTCTGTCCTGGCTCCCTCTATAAAATATAAAGTTTATATTTCTGGCCCTTGGAAGTGATCTGTTTGCCTGTACTTTCCAGAAACATCTTTGATGCCAGTTACAAAGGAGTGTTCTGCGGGAGATTTTATGAGGTCCTAGCATTCAGTTTGGTGGGGGCTGTGTGTTTGAGCATAGTCAAGGAACTAGAGGAATCAAATGACAGTAGTTTGAAGAAGTGGGGAAAAAAAGTGTCCCTGTCATTCTGACAATGTCCTTTGATGATAAAAATAATAGGCCTAAGTGAAGACTGGCATTTCCTATGCCTTTATTTTCTTCTTGTTTTTTTTTTTTTTCTTCTTAAGCCTAGAGAAGTGCCTCCCACTTCACACATCCTGAGAGCCCAGGATGCAAGCAGATGATGACACAACATGGTTTTTGTTCTCACCTCCTCCCTCAGTCTAGCCCTCTGCAGTCACTGCTTCTCATCTCTTCTGCAAGCACCAAGCTCATGCCCCTGCTTGAACTTTCTCTTTCATCCTCTTCCCTATTTTGATGGCCCTGCCACCTCTATCCAGGGAATATTTATGATGTACCTACTATATGCCCTTGGTCATGTGCTAACAGGATTTTGAGTATATAATTTAGGCTTCCTCAGTAAGAGTACAAACTCCCAAACTGCAAAGGAGCATATCTTCTACTTCTTTATGTCGCTTACATTACACTATCAGAGCCTGTGGTGAAGACTTGGTGACTTGCCCTCTAGGCTCACAGTGTCAGTGAGCTGACATCAGTGAGCTCTTGTCTCAGGTGGCAAGAACAAAGACAGTCCACCTTAGTGGTTTTAAGACGTGCTCTCATACTCTAGGAAATGAGCAGTGATGCCAGTGTCTGTACCCAACCCCTTCTGATGCTCATCCACTCACCCACCCCCAGCAGCTATGACTGTGGATATAGGTTGCTAGGCCATATATCTCCTTATATTCTCTATGTGTTGGACCATGCCATTGTTATCTGTTATTGTGATATCTGGATATCTATTATCTGGAGCAAAGAGGCAAGAACCAGGTTTCTTCTCTCTGCATGGCTGTAGAACTTGAGCTTAATGAATGCCTCTCAATCCTGATGCACTGAGTGACATTGCAGGGGGGAGGGACCCAAAGGCCTGGAGATGAGCAGCAGTTCCATTGTGGGGTACTTGATGCCTTCCTTCTGGAGTTCTGAATGCTTGTTTGCCTCTGTTCCAGGCCCACCTGCCGTTTGCTGTTATTGGCAGCACAGAAGAAGTAAAGATAGGCAACAAGATGATGAAGGCACGACAGTATCCATGGGGGACTGTGCAGGGTGAGTCTCCTCCAGATGGGCTGCACTCAGAAGGCCTCTTCTCTGTGTCTCTGCTGCCCCTGCCATGACATGACAAGTTCCTAGCTTATTCTTAGCCTCTACTACTCAATTTGGGTCTCTTAGAACCATAGTGTTCACTAGCAGCAAGCTCTGGCTCCATGCCTGGATTCTATGATGTGAGCAGGCTCCTTTTGTGTTTAATGAAGAAAGTACTCCCTTGACACTAGCCCCAAACAAAACAAAAGATAAATGGACTTGGCACAACATAGAAAGGACTATATAAGTGAGTATGTCACTAGGAGAGGTACAAGAATGTTTACAGCACTGTTATTCATAATGAGATTGCAACAAAACCATTTTATGCTTGGGGGTCACCACAACATGAGGAACTGTATTAAAAGGTTGTAGCATTAGGAAGGCCGAGAACCACCGGTCTATGGCAACAGGTAGGGTTTATGTAATGCAAGGGGCTTTAAGCAGAAAGAGTACATGGACCACTCTGGACTGTAGACAAAAACTTCTGATGACTGACCATCTATGATGGTACAACCATGCTCAACTCTGTCATTCTAGAATCCCTCCTCTCTGTCCCTAGTGTCCTCTCCCAGAGTTCGAGAGACAGAATCTTGGCTAACTTATCTGTTCATCATCTCAGACACAACCATCCACCTCTACATGGCCAAACACTAACATCTAACACAGTGGGGATGGACCTGGAGATATCCTGTCAGAGCCCTGCTTCCACCAACTGCTCTGGCCAGAAATCTACTTCGCTGTGATTTAGTCCACATCTCTCACATTCTTGACCACTACCCAAAATGAAGATCTTTGCCCTGAAGCAAAGAAATGGTACACACTTTATCCTCCTTAAGAATGTCATGATCAAGCCATTATCAGCCCTTGGCAAAACACCTTCTTGGAAGCTTCTACCACCCACATGGGCCACACCAGAGGTCTGCCCGTCCTTGTCCCCATCACCTGTTTCTACCTTAGTTATTTTTCCTTGCTCTTTGGAGACTCCATCTATGGTCTCTGCCTCTCCCTTACACTATCTGTGTTTGAAGCCTGACACTGCAACTTGTTCTCTGTATGACCTTGCCTAGCCTTCTGGAGACCTTGTGGAGATTATGTTCTGTTATCTGCCTGATAAATTCTGTTCTTCCTTGCAGAGTCATCCAAGAGGTTGTGTCTTTGGGGAAGCCTAAAGTCTCCTGGGTGCTTGTAGGTCCCCCTCTTCTGGGCTTTTGCTGCACTGCAACCAACCTCCATATCTGTCATTTTAGCACTGTGTTATATTGTTCTGCTTACATGCACTTTCCCAGTAAACTTCAGGTTCTTAACAGCATAGCCCTAAGATTTCATTTCTTAATTCTCAGGGCTACACATAATATTGAAAATAGAGATTCCACAAATACTTATTGGGTGGATGGATAGAAGATGTGCATGTATTGCCATGCGCAAAGCAGTGTAAAGCAGACGTTTCTGTGGAAGTCTGCCTGGTGATTTTGTGTTGAGGCGTTAATGAAAGTCTTTAGTCTCACAGTAGTACAGTTTTTATTATTGCCCTTTCATACTGTTTCATTCCCAATTTTCACAGAAAATAGAATTAGGAGGTTAAATTTATAGGCGCCGTATAAGCGGGCTGCAAAGCAATGTCACCCTTAGATGTTTTACTTCTCACTTCATCCATTTCTTCTTCTGCCGACCTTCTTTTCAATATACTTCCAATGCCCCCAAACCCTGCTATGCAGTTGAAAACGAGACCCACTGCGATTTTGTGAAGCTGCGAGAGATGCTAATTCGGATCAACATGGAGGATCTGCGGGAGCAGACCCACACCCGGCACTATGAATTGTACCGCCGCTGTAAGCTGGAGGAGATGGGCTTCAAGGACACCGACCCTGACAGCAAACCATTCAGGTACCACTTTATGCCAGGCCAAGCCAGCCTGACTCAGCTCAGGAAGCCTTGCCCCAGAGAATCAGCAGGGCAAGGAGTATGGGGGTTAGGTAGAGAGTCCAAAGTAACTCCTGGATTGCCGACGTTGCTTGAGCGTTCCCTTTTTGTATCTGCACATCTACCAGAATAGCTGCCACCCACTTAGAAAAGCAGGGAAAGGAGGGAAAGGCCCCAGAGAAATCATTCTGCTGATCACTCACTGACTTGACCCCTCCTCCCCATATATATCTGCTCTAGTCAGCCAGGCTCACATAGACCCTGAGCTGGGCTTTGTTCTACTGTGTAGAAATTAGAACCTGTCCTCTGTTCCCACATTCTTCATCTGGCTCTCCTGTTGCTTGACAGGTTTCCAATATGTTCTTTTCTACCTTCCCTCTTCTCGAAACCAGAGGGAAAAGTCAGGCATAGTGGCAAGGTCCTGGAATCCAGCACTGGGGAGGCTAAAACAGGATTGCCATGAGTTTGAGGACAGCCTAGGGTACCTGGCAAGTATTGTACCAGTCAAGGCTGCATAGCAAGAGCATTCCTTAAAAAAAAAAAAAAAAAAAAAAACAGGGGAGGGGGAGGAAGCTTGGTTATGTGATTTGGTAGTATAGTGTTTGCCTAGCATGCACAAGCCATGAGTTCACCCCTAGCTCCAAATAATTAAATTGAATTGATAGGAAAGTACAAAAAAGGACCAGAAAGTAGTCACTTTGCCTGTATTGGTGACCTGCATGATGCTCCCTCTTCCCCTCCTGCCTTAGCATTTCAGTATGGCTTTTGCTTTGACCACTGAAGATGAGTAATCACTGCTATTTCCCTTAAATCAGAATCTAAAGTGCTTTTTTTCTTATGCAGGGGGAGCCATAGACCAATGAAAGCATCTGCCCTATATATACAATATGTGTCATCAGCCCTACATTTTGAATTACCATGTGTTGCCCTTTACTGTGGCTCTATCTCCTTTCAGGAAATGTCAGACATCCTTGAGCAAGCCAGGCAGAATATCTGTGGGAGGAAAAGGCTTTCAAATGGCCTCTGAGATCCAACAGCACCTGTTTAAAGCAGAAAGAGGGCCCAAGACACTGCATAAGCAGTCCTTTGGGGGATGGCTGCTTTAACAATGGCAGCCTCCCCAGCCCCCATGGACAGGACAAGCAAGTCAGGGCCCCAGAGCTCCTGAGCTGGGAGAAAGGGAGTTTGTCTCTGATGGAAGCTCCTATGTCTCTCTCATTCACCTCCACAGCTCTCATCTCCATCCTGAAGGAGGTGTGCCTCTGTCTGACCATTTAGTCCTTGACTTTCCTTTTTCTCCACCTCAATACCTGTTCCTGCATCTTCACACTCTTCACTCTTCTACTGGCCCCTGTATGCCTTGCTTGCAAATTCTCCTACCAAATGAAGTACTTTTTTTTAGCCCTGCTCTTTCTTTCCAGTTTCTCCTTATCAAGAGGTTTGTCTGTGACACAAAGGAAACACTTCTGTATCGACTGTTCCTTTCCTCCTCTCTCACTTCCTCAACCCACTACAATCTGGCTTCTGCCTGCCTCCATTTCTCTACAAAATAGCCTCTCTCTAAGGCCTGCAGTTGTAGATTGGTGGGCAATGTCACTGTGGCTTGATTTTATCTTTAATTTTAATGTGAAATACTAATTTGGTTTTCATGAGACACTACCCTCTGCCTTTAGCTCTTCCAGTACTGGCCTAGCCAGCTTTATCCTTCTCACTCTCTATCTTATTACTCCTTAGTCTCACTTTAGGGCTCATTTTCTTCAGCTTTCTTTTTTAAATATTTGTGCTTCCTTGGAATACTTACACATGTCTCTGCCCTTTCATACTCCCATCTCTTCGTTCTGGTTCTTTCTATTCTCATAACCCTAATTACCACCCAGCTATTTGAAGAATCCAAACTTAAAACTTTACCGTTGACCTCTGAACCAAATGATGCACCTGCACCCTGGACATTTGCACTCAGACATTCTATCAATGCCTGTTCTGAAGCTCTAGAGGTATGCCATCTAGTCCATCTTCTTCCTCCTTTTCCAGCATTTTCTGTTACTGTTCATGTTCTACCATCTACCTGGTGGCCCAAGCCAAAAACTAGAATCAGTTTCTTTTGGGTGTGTATCAAGAGAGCTTAATGTAGATTGTAAGCACTGAGATTCAGACAAAGACACTCACAAAGAAAGTGAAATACATTTGAGAAAGCAGGTAGGTATGAGCAAAGGGGAGCTGCCAAGAACCAGCCTTGAATTTTTTCCCAAGCTTGGGAATTCTGCAGCCCTGTTGTTCCTCCAGATCTCTCCATGTGCTACCAGCCTTTAATGTGAAGATCCTTCCATTCTATATTTGAATTGCTGGAAAGTTTCTTTCTTGGGATAGCCAAGTAGACTTTATTATGTTCTGACTGATGAAAGCCACTTGCTGGATACATGTCCACTTCTTTGATGTGGTATTCAAAGGCTATCCTTGTCTTTCAGTCTCATGACCCCTGTGTCTCACTCCTCCATGCTTCACATGATGCCCCCAGGCCGGTTCAAGTATGGCCACATCCTCAGGAACAACGCTCTCCACTTGTGCCTTCCTTCACAAATATTGCTCTTTGGAGCATGGTCCTTCTGTTCTTCACCAGGCTAACTCTTACTTAAAAAAATAAGTGCATGTCAGGGGCAGTGGTTTTGATCCAGGCATCTCCCATTAGATCCTAAGTTCCTTCAGGACAGGCATGGTGGCTCTGGGCTTTAGATTTTGAGTGACTAGCATCATGTCTATTCACACTGATCACATAAGTGGTAGGTAAAATCTCAGCAACTGTGCAATGAAGTAGTAAATGAATGTGGTTGGTTTCAGAGCCAAGGCCTGGCAGGACAGTGTAGTGGGGAGGGCCTTAAATCAAGAGATGGGAGACCCATCTTCTGGAGTCAGCTCTGCCTTTAACCAGGTGTGCAATCTTCAGCGAGTCATTTCATCTCTATGAGCCCAGTTTCCTCATCTGTATGAGAAAGAGAGAGATTAGTGTTTTAGGAGGTATCCAGTTCACCAAGGCACCTCTGCCCCCTCCAGTACCTCTGTAATATTACTGTTGCATGCCAATCCAGCTGTCCCATCCACTTTATGATTCTCTTTATAGTTCTCTCTCAGAATTAGGGAAGAGAGGATGAGGGAACTCAAGGAAGATGATGGGGTCCTGTTTTCTTGACAAGGGGTTGCCCCAGAGGCAGTGGAATTGACTTGATCATATCTACAGTTTACAGGAGACATATGAGGCGAAAAGAAACGAGTTCCTAGGGGAGCTCCAGAAAAAAGAAGAAGAGATGAGACAGATGTTTGTCCAGAGAGTCAAAGAGAAAGAAGCTGAGCTCAAGGAGGCAGAAAAAGAGGTAAATGCAACCCTGGAGACCAAACAGGCAGGGGGGAGAGACTAAGTGAAGCAGGAGGGGCATCAGCCTTGACAAAGATGCTGGATGGTACAGGGATTTGAAGGTTGTGGGCAGAGCTGGAGCGCAGCTTGGATGGACAGAGAATCCGAGGGCATCTGTGTTTTCTTGACCTTTATTTCCTAAGGCTGGAACATTTTCTCATTCTGTTAATTATTTTGAGCCATTGCCATCACACATGGTAGCCCCTATCTATAGGCGAGTATGTCTTTTAATTTGAATTTATTTATTTATTTAGGTTTTGAAGCAAGGTGTCTATATGAAGCCCAGGCTCGACTAGAACTCAATGTCTAGCCCAAGCTGGCCTCAAATTTTAGAACCTTTTGCTCAAGCCTCATGAGCCCTAGGATTTCAGACATGTATTACAATGCCTGGATGTAAAAAATAATTTATTAATTGACAAATAATAGTTGCATATATTTATGGAATATGATGTGCACTTTTGGTGTTTATAGTATAGAACTATTAAATCCAGGCAAATAAACAAATTAGTTATTTCATATATTTATCTTTTTATTTGGAAACTTTTAAAATCTAAGCCAAGTATGGTCACACAGGCCTATAATCTCAGTTTCTTAGAAAAGCAGAGCAGGGGAACAAGTTAGGGCAACTTAAGTAAGACACTATCTCCAAATGAAAAGTTGAAAGGGGGCTAAGGATGTAACTCAGTGGTCAAGTTCTTGTATAGCTGCTTGAGGCTCTAGGTTCAAAATCCCCAGTACTGCTGAAGGTTGGAACCTTTAAAATCTATTCCTAGCCATTTTTAAATACACAATCAAATGGCAAGCTCAGTCCCTCTCATTATCTCATTTCAAACATTCAGTCCTCCTGAAAGAGGCTCAGTGCAGCTCTTGTATTGGACAACACAGGTGCAGAGCCCCTCCAGGAGCTCACAAAACTCTCTTGGGCAGTGGAGCACATGCAGTCAAGGGAGGCTTGATCCTTTCCTTACTTCCTGGAAACTGGAAGTTCTGTAGAGACAAATGATTGTTTTCATGGCTGTCCTGTTTCATCCTACCCTCTGTGGTAACCACAGTGAAAGGTAGATCTAAAGCCCATTTTAGATTAAATGATGAAATCTAAAATGGCAACACTGGGAACATTTGCTGTTCACTTAGGTTTCCTACTCCACCCTCTTGATTTTTTGTTTGTTTGGTTGTCTATTTATTTGATGTGGGGCTAAGGATGGAACCCAGGCATTGACATGCTAGATAAGTTTTCTGTCACTGATCACCACATTAGCACTTCTATCTTGGTTTAGAGTAGAAAAAAAAAAAACATTAGTGCAGTTCTGGATGGTTTATAAACCAAGGTTTTGTGCTTTCTAAGCACATGCAGTTTAGGCTGGACAAATGTCTCAGTAGGAGAAAGTGCATGCCAGTCAAGCCTAACAACCTGAAATCAATTTCTGGAATCCACATCAAAGCTGGATGCCAGTGGCACCCATCTGTAATCCTAGCACCCCAATGGTGAGAGAATCACCTGGAAGTTCACAAGCAGCTAACATGGGGCATGCTGTATGGTTGAGACAAGTGAGACACAAGATCGAAGGAGAGAGCCAACTCCCAAAAGTTGTTCTCTTGTCTCCATATGCCATGATATGACACATGTACACATACATCAGGCTGCTACTGCTGCTGCTGCTGCTGATGATGATGATAAATTTTTATCTTTATTTATGTCCATGGCTAGGTTTTTTTGCCTACATGTATGTTTATATACCATTTGTGTATCTGGTGCCCATGGAGAACAGAAGAAGGCATTGGATCGATCCTCTAGAACTGGAGTTACAAATAATTGTAAACGACCAAGTGCATGCTTAGGATCAAAACTGAGTCTTCTGGAAGAGCAGAAAGTGCTTTTAACCACTGAGCCATCTCTCTCGCCTGTAATAGTAATACGTTCTTTAAAAAGAATTAAACATAAGCAGTTATTCCTTTAAGCAATGGCCATGACTTCCAAGGCTCTTATACTAGTTCACACCTCGATGCCAGGGTAACAGACCTAAAGTACAGTTTTGGAATATGAGCCAGTGCTTCCCTTCTCTGGGCCTCAGTTACTTTTCTTGATGTTGTGATAAAGACCTACTTGAGAAAAATAACTTAAGGGAATTTGTCTTGGCATACAATTCTGAAGGTACAATTCATTATGGTGAGAAGGCATGATAGCACAAGCATAATGCAGTTGGATACTTTGTGCAAGAAGCAAATAGATGACAGATATAGATAGATATAGACAGATATAGACAGATATAGATAGATAGACCAACAGATAGATGATAGATTGGTAGATGGATGGATAGATAGATAGATAGATAGATAGATAAGACTGTTAATACTCAGATCATTCTTTTTTTCTTTTACCTCAATTCAAGACTGCAGCTCATAGAATGGTGCCACCTAGCTTCAGTCTTCCCACCTCAGTTATCCCAATCTAGACATTCTTTTGTAAACACACTTAGTTTTCTAGGTGATTATAAGTCACCCATCAAGTTGACAGTCAGGAATAGCCATCACACCCCTCAAACATAAATAAGGGAAATAACTATTCCCAAAATCTCTTCACCTTTGATCTCCTATGACTCTCCAGGGCTGCCACCAAAACTTGTGGCAAAGGTATTGCTTTGATTTCAGTTTCACTTTAAGAAGAAAAATGTCACGTATTACCTTTTGGAAGAGAGGTAGGGGCATCTTATAGAAAAATGAATAGAAGTTGCAATGAAGTAAAGCTCGTTTGAAGCAACTGACACTCCCCTCCCCTCGAGTAAATCTGAGAAGCTACTTTAGACATAAGCTTATTATTTGCCATCCCTTTTTTTTTAGGCAAGAGTCCCAAATGCTATAGTAGCTGGAGAACCGACCTCTGATTTTCACTGCAAGTGCTACAAAGTGCAAAATTTCCTTCTGAGTCCCCACCGAAAGAAGAATTATACTTGATCTATTTATTAAGGTTATTTTGTGCTTTCTAGTAGTGTGACTGCCCATGCTTCTGGCTCTCTGATCCACTTGCCACAGTGGCATGGCAGACTATGCTTGCTGTTCCTTGCGTCTGAGCTTCCATCCAAGGTGAATGAAGCCTCACCTCTGGTTAAGGCTGAGCTCTTGGGGCTGGAGAGATGGCTCAGCAGTTAAGAGCACTTGTTGCTCTTGCAGGTGACCAGTGTTCAGTTCCCAACACCTAAAACTTAACACATCCTTAACTCCAGTTCCAGGAAATTTGAAGCCTTTTTGTGACATCTGAGGGTACCAGGCACGCATGTGGTACACATACACACATGCCGGCAAAATACACATAGATATAAAACAAATAAATCTTTTAAAAATTGTTTGAAAAGACTGAGGTCTCAAAAATCATCCAATTTTACAGATATTTTTTGTCTCTGTTCAAGGGTAAATATTTCCTTTGACTAGCTTTGCTATGGCTCAAGTTTTTTCTATGATGCACGGGGAGATGCCTCAGTGAAAAAGAGTGCTTGTCCTTCAAGCATGAGGACTTGAGGTCAGCTCTCCAACACCCACATAAAGAGCCAGGCATACATGCACATGCTTGTAATCCCAGGCTTGGGAGGGCTAGAGATGGTGGATCCTAAGATGGGTATGGTCAGGAGGAGATCTTTACAGATGGGAGATCACATTATATAATCCTCTAAGGATTTCCAAATGACCTCATTTATGAGACTCAGTTTTCCTCATAAAACGGACATAATAGCAGAGCCTACTCTAACAGTGTTGTAAGCAAGGCATGATGGCATATACCTGTAATTTCAGTACTCAAAAGGCAGAGACAGGAGGATTGTGAGTTCAAAGTTAGCTTGAGCTGCACAACAAGACCCTGTTTCAAAAAGAAAAAAAAATTGAGTTCTGTATTAATAAAAAGTTTTAATATATCAGATTTAGTGGTTGGCTTGTAAAAAACTCAATAAATATTATTATCAACCACACCCAAAAATGGCAGAGGTTGTCTTAAAAAGAATGTCTGGTTAAGCAGAATGCATTGTTTCTTGGCCATTTCAGGAGCAGAGATTCTGAGAACAATCTACAGCAATGAACAGAACAATCCTTTGTGCCATCATTGTGGTCACTAGTAGGAATGGCTCTTAATGTGCCAGGGTCCTGCAGGGTTGCAGCCATGGTGGTTCTCACCCACTCTGGTCTTGGCTAGGCTGGGGACTGCTTGCTGCTGCAGAGGGATTCTCTCTAACTTCCTTGTGCCCCTCTACCAGCTGCATGAGAAATTTGACCGTCTGAAGAAACTGCACCAAGAAGAGAAGAAGAAGCTAGAGGAGAAGAAGAAATCCCTGGATGATGAAGTGAATGCTTTCAAACAGAGAAAGACAGCAGCTGAGCTGCTCCAGTCTCAGGGTTCTCAGGCTGGAGGCTCACAGACTCTGAAAAGAGACAAAGAGAAGAAGAAGTAAGTAGCGGGCTGCAGGTGTGTGTGTGTGTGTGTGTGTGTGTGTGTGTGTGTGTGTGTGTGTG